GATATTCTTTATTTTAAAGGAATCATGACATATAAGTATTTAAACGGTCTTTCTCCAGATTATATCTCCAACCTAACTGAACTAAGATTATCAAATGCTGAGCGTAATCTCCGATAGACGATTTACAGCGATCTGCAGATTCCGTGGCACAATGCAATTATTACAGTATCTCATTTACTGTGTCAGAACCTACTATATTGAATTCCTTACCAGAGAGGTAACGCAATTCAAATTTCATTACTTTTTTAAAATATGATTATAGAAATTCCTTCTTGACATAAAATTTTCCATTCAGAGCCATTAATTATATCCATAAAGAATATGTCCAGATCTTATTCGATGTATGTAATACGCATGACTTATGCTAAAATGTATGTACCTGTGTATAGAATATTATTTATATAAGTGTATGTTTACCAGTATAGTCACACATAGCCATTCATGTTAAGTACGTATGAAACGGTGTGCGACGATAACTGATTATGTATATGGTCTTGTATTTTTTAAATTTACTTTTCTGATAAAAAATATTTCTTTTAATCATTTTGCATTAAACAGTCAGAAAAACAGAGAACACCTACCTGATGGGTAATTCATGACCATATATAGTCCTCGTTAAAGAAAGATTATTATTATTATTATTATTATTATTATTATTATTATTATTATTATTATTATTATGCGCCTTTATAAGACATGTATACAGGGTGAAATAAAGATATTAAACATACTAAGTTTAAAGAACTGAGTTGCATTTTGTAGATATGCTGTGAGATTGTATTTTAGATGGGCGTTGACTTGAATAAGCATTTAATGTACATGATTTCTCATTATTTACCTCTTTCAATAATGTGCTGTCAAAATTGTATTGGTAAGTGATCACCTCGTCGTGTAAACAAAAGTTCATGATATAAAATAAAATCAATATACTTAATTTTATTTCTTCAACAAAGGCTGGTTCATGTATATGATTCCGCCAGTTACTTACAGCAGGGTTGTTTTTGTATGTGCATACATACCTTTTTATACAAATGTTATCAGCATTTCTCCTGCTACAATCTTAAAATTTTTAATTCTCCTTATACCTCGTTGAACGCCAATGCATTTGCCTTGAACCTTCAAATTGTGAAATTGTGTTTGCTATTCGTGTAGAAAAGAACACAAGAATGTACACATCTCGTATTAGCGTGGTAGAAAACTCAGAGAGAGAGAGAGAGAGAGAGAGAGAGAGAGAGAGAGAGAGAGAGAGAGAGAGAGAGAGAGAGAGAGAGGGAGAGGGAGTTGTTGTTGTTGTTGGGCTTAACGCGATTTTTCAGCACACGATAGGCTATACATGGCGGCCAGTATCAATGGTGGAGGAAGAAACCGGGAACTCCCAGGAAAGAACTACCAACCAAAGAGAAGCTACTGGTAAGCTTTCTCACATATCCGCATTCACCGAATCTTAGACTCGAATCCATGCAGACAGATGTGAGATGGCAATGATCGGTAACGGATAGCGCTTTAGACCACACGGTCACTCGGTCGGTCGGTCGTTCGTTCTTTCGATCGATCGATCAATCGATCGATCGTTCGTTCGTTCGTTCGAGAGAGACAGACAGACAGACAGACAGATTGCCAGTAGCTTCATGTGGGTCGCATGTTCTTCCCGGAGTCTTCAAGGTCTCTTCCTCCATCAAAATGTACTGGACGCCAAGTAAAGCTGATCGTATGATGAAACTGCTGTTAAACACATACAAAAGGAAAAACCAGCAACATAGAAAAATCTTTTGACAGCTCGTTACTTTGTAAATATATACAAAGATTACCAGGGTGGCAATGCCTGGGTGAAGTTGAGGTAGTCGTCATTCTTTTCCAGGCGACTAATATCTTCTGATGCATAAAGCGCAAACAAATCCGAATCAAGGCGGGTCGCATTTAGGTGGGGATAACAAGAAAGGTACGGCAGCTTTTTTACGATGATTTTTTTTATTATTGTCTCTTGTCGTCTGCACAAGAAGTAGCCAATATTATTTCTCATATTTCTTACTTAAATACCTTGGGGTAAAGTTTTTCATCTGACCCCAATCTTTCTCCAGCTCTGTAGTTGAGGGTGATCTTAAATGTGCATAAATTTCACAACGGTTAACAAGAGGCTCATTTAAGTTTTATGTCTTTAACCCCCCCCCAAAAAAAACCAACTGAAAATTCATCGTAGGATTGTGTTTTGACCAAAGCGTGTTTCTATTTACACTGTTTATAACTCTTTAAAAATGATGCAATGTAACCAACTCACGTTTCTAGGTGTCGATGCCCAATAATACTTGAATAAAAAACTACGAGTTACGCCCATACGACACCTTAATCAAGTTGTTGGCTGTCAACCTACAGAACCACAAATAACTTTTTACGATGCACATTAAAATATAAAAATGCCTGTGCCACAGGACAATTCACTATATTTATTGAGTTCAATGTAAAATAATAATACAACTCCCCTATGTCGATCCAGTATTAAAATTTTCTCCTCTCCCTTAATGTGATAAATGACTGTGCAACTTTTCCTTTCCAGTTAAGTAGAGCATTCGCATGGATGGATCAGGACCGGTAAAAAAAATCCATCAAAAGCTACACGTTTATCTGAAACTGAATGTTGAAATGATAGTTTTATAAAAAGGTATTGATGTTAACTGTATATCCGTCATCAGCTACTAGACATAGATAATAAGAACAAATCCTCATGAGTGACTTTTTAGAACTGAAAAGTAACGAAGTGATTTAACTATCTATAGGTCACTAATTAAAAATGAATACTGTATTTATAGCTGATTCTTTTTATTATCTCTTCTTGTGTGTGTGTGTGTGTGTGTGTGTGTGTGTGTGTGTGTGTGTGTGTGTGTGTGTAAAGTAATTGTGAGACGTTTTAGGTTAGGATACAATCAATGTGATTGAACATATTCCGAAGAATGTTCTCAATACGATATTAAATACTTCTGAGAAATAATCATTTTTTTTTTTCAATTTCACGCAGATCACAGTCTCAATTAATGTACGACCAAAGTCTGCCAAGGGCAAAAATTCAGAACTAATCATTCGTTTCAGTAACGAATGGTAGCATTCTTGAAAACTTTTGCCTTTGTGTTTCAGGTTCTTTCATCCGTGACATTTACAGACATCTGTATTTTTGATTGTGGCAGCAGTGCAAATTTCAAAAATTAAATTAGCTCTAATGCCAATAAGTGTTACAATTTCTCACATATTTTAAGCGTCTATCAAAAACCAGAACTACGGGAAATTTCTCATATTATCACTGTATGTAGGAATTATAGTAGTTTTTAAATTAAAATTAATACCTTGAAGGGAAAAATGGGATAGCTGGAACACTAGGATTAAATCGGAAACTTTTAATATTTATTCTAGAAACAAAATGCATATGCATGCCTCCAATGAACAAATATCATGTAACATTAAACTAGAGTTTAATTTCGACAGACCATTAGTCTTGCATCGTAATCTAAAGAGGAAAGCCATGTCAAAATAATTATGTGGCATGAGGACTGGACATAAATGACGTAGGATTTAACAAGTAAGGTTGCTGCAAACCCAGTAAATGGATTAGATAATCGATTTAAGAGCATTCAATAAATTAAGGTATTATTATCTACTCGGGATGGAGACTATGATGACTTATGAAGAAAATATTGTTCAGATAAAAACTTCAAAAAGCACACAGTGTACTATCAGATATACCGCCAAGTTAAAATTTCTGTGAAATTACGATCTTAAACAAATGCGTAAAGCACGTTATAGACCTAACTCACCTTTAAGACGAAATTTACTACAAACGGAGCAAACCCAGATCTGATGTAGCGTAATGCGCTGGCATGTATAGGCCTGTGCAATTTGTTAGGAGTAATTAGCACAACAAATAAAATATGACCATGATCTACAGACACATTTTGCATATCTTGGTAATTGTTTGTAGTTAATCTCGTCTTATAAGCGAGTACATATGATTTATCAAATATATATTAGTATTGCGTAGAATATCGCTTTAATTGACGAAAGAAATCCATAATGGTTGCTCCATTTCGACTCGAATAAATTATTTAAAATGATCCAGTTTCCACATGACTTGAAACTTATAAATATGTATTCGTTTGCTAAGTCAATCGAATTATATTTTCTCACGTCTTTTATGTGTATCATACTTTAATATTAACTAAAAATTAAATATTTTAAAAAAGTATACCTACCCACCCCATCATCAAAATTGGCTTTGCCAAATCAGAGCAGCAATATCATAGTTTCCACCTTTCCCATTTCTGTCTAACTTATTCGAATTTATTCTGGATACTGGGCAGATTTAGGCTGACATTTAAAAATTACCTTTCATGTTTGATTTTGTAGAAAGCCAGTTATAATCACTATCTCCTGAAATTATGTAAAGTAGTGATGATACGACGTGTCTATTCCATCCGTCTCTGCAAATGTGCGTCCATTTAAATGACTTCATGATTCCACGCGTTACGTCCGTCTGTCTGTGCTAGCTCGCATTGATGACGTACTAGTGCATGCTTGTAGAAAATCTCATGACCTATATGCTATATAAAGAAACGTGTCAATGCTTTCTTAAGAGACAGATGTATTGCTATTTGATGGCGTGTTCCATAGTCGTGGCTCATAATCATTGAGAGTGTAAGGGAGATGCATGCTTATGGTAAAGAGCGAGAAGTTGTGTGCTGCTAAGCTACAGCTAAAATAGAAGAAAAGCTAGAACCAACGCTACATATACGAACTTTCGAATGACATCACTAACAGTAATACTGCTACTAAAAAAAACAGCAACGAAAACAACCTCAATAACTACAACAACAACAACAACAATAATATTTAATAATAATAATAATAATAATAATAATAATAATAATAATAATAATAATAATAATAATTATTATTATTATTATTATTATTATTATTATTATTATTATTATTATTATTATTATTATTATTATTAAATTGCTTCGGTTGCCTAGTGGTTAGAGCGTTTGCCTCGGATGCATGAAGTTGTGGTTCGAACCCCAGTCGAGTCATAAAAAAGACTTACAAACTTAATACTAAAAGCTGCCTCGCTTGACGCTCAGCTTTAAGAGGTTAGTGTTAGGACAGGTCGGTTTGGTGCCAGAATAATTTTATTGGGTACGACATCATGTTACATGTCTACGGCATGAAACCCCGGTGATAGACATCACAATTAACTGCCACACTGCAGACATCGTAGTGATATGACTGCAAAATTGTTAAAGTGACGTTAAAAATTATAATTACATATTATTATTATTATTATTATTATTATTATTATTATTATTATTATTATTATTATTATTATTTCATCAGCCGTAACATATCAGCAGTACAAAGATAAAATAATGAGAATTGTAAAATTTATTTTATCATCAAGCTCATTCAGACCTAAATTTTGGCATACATTAGCTCATTTTGAGTTGCATTCAGCTGACACTTTTACCTTTATCTTATCCTTGTGATAAGGAGGGTAGCAAATGCTTTTAGGATCTATAGTGTAGAAAGTAAATTTATCAGAAAATGCTTATTGATAAAAAGAATGCAAATAGATACAAGAAAATTTTAACTGACACAAGAATATGTATATCTTTCAACAGCTTTATTGAAATGGCCAACCTCTTGTTAATGCGAGGAACACTACAGTTGCTATGATGGGTTAATTTGAATTCTGTCCAATCAATACCCTGTCCTGAAAATTGTTATTTTGTCATGAAATGTCAGTTGAAATATTCAGGAGAATAATATAACATTAAATGATCCTGATCATACCATGCTGGCGTTAAAAGAGGTACTGTACACATTCGTAGCACAAAAGCAACGGGACACTTAGGCTAAATCTAACCAGTATGTTCAAATCACCTCTGCGGAATAAATAATATAATATACAACAACAACAAAAAAGACTTATGGTTTCAAAACAACCACTGTAAACGTTTTAGAGTTTAGTTCTTACTTTTTTTAAGATGTTGACTCATTCTCTTGAGAACCTAACATGGGGGCGTGTGTTGACCTAGGTGGAGTAAATTATAATCAAAACCTGGATAGCCTATATCAAATATAATTTCTGAAGACTGCATGTATTCGACGTGGAAGTCAATCCTTCCGGTTACCAGTTTCTGACACTCATCCTTTAGAGGCATACTGTCTGTGTGTTTGTGTGTGTGTGTATGATGTGTGTGTGTGTGTGTGTGTGTGTGTGTACAACCCGTAACATAAAAGTTACACAATATATTAATTATTCTAGCAAAAAAGAATACAATGGATATCTCGTTCAAATAATTGTATATCTGGGCTGGCCACATATACCGATTCGTTTTCGTATTGCATAATATTTTTTCTTGATATATACGGTATGATAATGTAACATTCATTATATCCTTTTATGGAAATTACCTTACTAAACTTGACACTTATTTTATTATCTCCGCAACTATTTGTGACTTCTTCGTATTAACTTACTATAAACACGAAATGATTTTGGTAAATGAAAGAATTTTTTTAAACAAGGTATGTGTGGCTAATCTGTACATAATATTCCGCGAGTTGAAAACAATAGACGAACGGCATGACATAGGTTATCATCTCATAAGTCTAATAAACATAAGTGTGTGCGCTCCGTGAAACTGTGCTAGATATGAGACGGAGAGAGAGAGAGAGAGAGAGAGAGAGAGAGAGAGAGAGAGAGAGAGAGAGAGAGAGAGAGAGAGAGAGAGAGAGAGAGAGAGAGAGAGAGAGAGAGAGAGAGAGATTGTATGTCCATGGTACTGGAACTATCACACCCTCAAGTAATGTCAGTGTGTGTGTGTGTGTGTGTGTGTGTGTGTGTCTGTGTGTGTGTTGCATTAAAATGAACAACAAAGTCAAGTCCTCTTCTATCAATTTTAGAAACGTTCATGGTCATTAACGTACTTGAGATGGATTTCGATTCCCCATGAACATTAGTCAATTCAAAGTGAATGCGTGTATAAATGTATAAACTGAATTGTCTTAAACTAATTAGACAATTACCAACATAAATAAATTGAAGTGTCTTACACGCATTGAAAGATTAGCAACATATATTGGACCTCTCCAGAGGTTTAGTGGTTAGACCGTCCACCTCTAAAGCGAGAGGTCGTTGGTTCGATCACCGGACGAGTCATACCAAAGATTTACAAAAATGGTACTAACAGGTGCATCGCTTGGCGCTCAGCATTAGGAGGTTAGTGTTACGACTGATCGGCCTGGTGTCAGGATAATGTGATTGGATGGGACATCATGCTACAGCATGTATAAACTGTACTGTCTTACACTAATGAAACGATTACCAGCATGTATAAACTGAACTGTCTTACACTAATGAAACGATTATCAGCATGTATAAACTGAACTGTCTTACACTAATGAAACGATTACCAGCATGTATAAACTGTACTGTCTTACACTAATAAAAAGTTGCTAGCATATATAAACTGTACTGTCTTAACCTAATGAAATGATTTTTTTATGTAAAAAGTGTGCTTAGTTACACTGTTGAAAATATAGCATACATATAAAATACTGACTCACACTGATATTAAACATTACAATATATACCACAAAAACTGCACTGTCTTACACTGATATCAAACATTACAAAAATATACCATAAATCATGTACTGTCTTACACTAATGAAAGGATTACCAGCATTTAAAAATCGTACTTTACACTAATTTAAAAGCTCAAGATTATTAACAGTTTCCAATTAGTGCGTTAATAACAGATTGAGAATTCACATACACTGCTGGACAAATTTGGTTATTAACACTGGATGGAATATCATAAACAGCGTTAACTGCACTTTATGACACTATGGTGACTTTGTTGTTGTTGTTATTGTTGTTGTTTTACTCTGAAGTCAACAAATATGATGATGATGTCTACGACGATAACAGTGACAGTCATATTGGGGACATTGTAACTAATACAATGCAAGACCAGGTGGGAGGGGAGAAGGGGTCCAGGGTTTCCAGAGAGTCGTTGTTGTTGTTGAAATTTGAGTATCATTTTATTGTTGCTCAATATGCACACCTTGAATAAATAGGCACATACTGTTGCTTTGATGTCCTTTCTAGGAATGTTAAGAAACTTTTGAAATTTTGAACAAATCCCACCTCACCCCACCCTAACCTCCCCACCCACCCCACCCCACTCAACCCTCACCCCACCTCCCCCACCCCACCCCACCCCACCCACTCCATACAGTTAACCTGATCCAACCCTCAAATTGTTCCTATTGCTGACAGAATTTGAGTTCAAATAATATATAAACTTAAGAAGATATTTTTCCTCTCGTGTATCATTGACATTGTTATCATCAACATCGTACCTATCTTCCATTACATATCCCATCTAATCATGTTTACGAACATATTTTAATTATAATATGTAATTAGAATGTCTGTAATTTCTATGCAAGAAAAACTAAAAGAATGATGACAACAATTCTGAAAGAATTGTGATGCAATGTAGCAGGCCCAACTATAAGGTACATAGGAAGGGAATTATAACGAAAATGATCAAAAGGTATTGCACTCTGCACAAATAATAGAGAAAAGAAAATCAGAAAATAAACTAGGGCTCTGTTGCCTTTCACGGAGAATCAGAAAATCAAATTTGGTTCTGTTTTCCTTCCATAGACTATAATTAAGTCGTAGAATTTGTATCAATGGAAATGTTAGACTATTGCTTACGTTTTTGTAAAAGTCATTTTGCACGTGGTATCTGCTATAAAAATTGCAGATTTGAAAATCAAAATTCACATGAACTGTGAAATCATGAAACTTTTAAACCGATTACATAATAAATGAAGGAGTGTAGTAAAATGGTTTAAAAAGGCAATTATATATATATATATATATATATATATATATATATATATATATATATATATATATATATATATATATATATATATATATATATAAACATATGTGGACTATTATAGTGACATGCTAATCCTTGGACAACCGTTTTTATAATAAACATTGCGCTTTTTGAAATCTACTGACGTTTGCACGTATTGATGTCCTACATTCTTAGAAAAATTTGCTTATCACCAGTTGTGAGAACCAAAAGTCTTATTTACAATGCACATTTGAACCTAAGTATTGAAGCACCGTGATACGCATCACAACTAGGATAACCCTCCAATCCCAAGCGGATCAAATTCTATACTAAATGTAAGCGCTTTCATCACACGCCTTTTCAGGTGCATTCAGGTGAGCATAGCACTTAAAAATACTTGGGTGGGTCACGTACAGTGAAATGAGCAATCAAAACCACCCATTTGGATATAATTACGTATCGATACGATATGTTTATAAAAGGACGTTTATATGAACTCGCAGCACAATATCAGTTACTCTCCTCAGATTACAGACACATCCACTTGCATGACATGTTATAACTAAAACGTAAGTAAGTGTTTTATTTTTTTTATAAGTCAATAATTAACAAAGATAAATACTATCTTTCTATCTTCTTTTCCCCATTGGTAAAACTCATACCATATAGAATCAATTTTCTTAATATAGATGACATTTTCATATTAAACGTTTAATAATTTCATGAACCGTTTTAGTATTGTACATAGCTTTTAGCTTTTATTAAATGTTGATGCCATTTGTGTTTTGTTCTATAGAGATGAACCCTTTTTCTGTAGGCATCGACCGTGCAATTTTCTGTAAATATTATTTTTCTTCTACTTTTTGTAGATAAGAATTTAGACACCTATTTGTAATCAATTTTTATACGTCAGCTGTAAAACTTCATAATAAGACATCACCTTACAATTTTAAATACAATCCAATTTTGTACTAACGGAAAGTCTACTTACATACAATGATATCTGGGAACGGTTAAATCTTTATACTAATAACACAACACGAATCCTCATCGAAATCGTGACCACAACTACAATAATATTGTTGGAAGAAATTATTATAGCATTTTCTTGATTCCGAACAAGTCAGATTTGCATATTTGTC